TTAAAAAATTTAAATATTAAAAAAATTAGTAAAAATCTTCGCAGGCAAATTTGCCTGTGTTACAATTTAAAGGATAAGTACGAGTATAGCTAAACTAATATTCAAATTATATGTTTCTAGTTTAAGTAGTAGTTTGCGAAAGGTGTAGTATTTAGTTTCAAACGTATATCACAAATATCGAGTTATAAATTTTAAGTGGTATAGGGTAAAATATTAAATTTTTATCGTAATAGTCTACAAGAATAACTAAAGTAAAATATTGATGTTTAAATACATTTTCAAATAATAGTACATTTCATTTTTCATGGTATAATATAAAAATTTCGATTGTTGTGAGAATAATATGTTCTCCGAATTAGCTATTCCTAATAATCAAAGCTTTTCTATTAAAACTTGATTGTTTTCGCGAATTTTGGCATTATTCCAAATCTATATATTTGTAGTATTGTTTATGGTTGAATGCTGTAGATTCCCATATATGCTGAATTTTCGGTCAATAAGTATAAATAAATATTCGATTAAATTGATAGTCTAATTTTTCTAAAATTGGCCATTGATAATCATCGGCAGATTTTCAAATAACATGTACACCAGACGCTTTACTATAGCTTTTGGCGTTGAATTGTGATATAACGTTCACAGGTAATTCGGTTTTTCAGCCGAATTATTTTGTTCATCACTGTCATATAGTGTTTTGTATTCTTCAAAAATTTCTTGATCAGGAAATTGTTCTTTGATACGATTATTGGTAATCTTTCCTTTTATGGTCTATTCTTCTAAATAACTTGGTATGTATTTTTCGAATATTTCTTCTTTAAAGTATTGAATTGATGGAGTCCATACCTGATGGTCCATTTGTTTCTTTGTCATCCACTGAGGTGGATACATATTATTGGGTTCATTGTGAATTATCTGAGAATATTCATATAGTAATACCAGATATAGATACATTGCTATTTCAACATAATACGGTGATTTTGTATAATCACTATCGTTAGTCGTTGCTGGTTGAGTCCCGGATTTATTATGAGAAAGATATCCATGTACTTTAATGAATTGTAATCGTTCGGGTTTTATTTTGAATTTTAATTCTTCAATAATTTCTCATATAATACAATTCAAATATGTTTTGTCATATTCTTCAAAGTGTCCTCCGAATCCTGAATGTTGTTCCAGATATATTTTAGCATTTCTGAACCATTTTGCTATTAAGACTTCAATGGATTCATCCGATAGCTCTCTTTCTCTGAATAGAGTAATGACTGTATATCGTCTTTTTATTAAATTTTTTGTTTGTTTTGATTTTAATATTATTTCTTCAGGTTTTTTTCCAATTCCTTTTGCACTATGGATGAATAGTGATCGGAATATGTTTTCTGGTTTTGGTATTTCTGTCGATACTTCAATATATCTTGGGTATATTTCTTGGATCATTTCTTCATACATGTCATATATCTCGTATAGATATTGTTTATCTATATCTTTTTCTTCTTGTCGATTTCTTTTAGCCTGTCTTTTAATCATTTTTTCTTTTCCACATTTGATATATATTTGATAATATGTGTTTTTGTATATTTGTGTTTCTGTTTGATAAAGAAGTTTTTCCAATAATCGTAACTCTTCTGAGTTTTTGATAGTGTTTAGTAAATATTTTCGTTTTAACTGCAGTTCGGTCACATATAATGATGGTGTTCTCATCAATAACCTTTTCCAATTCGAGTCTTTTTAATTTTTGATAATTAATATTCTATTGTGTTATTAATAGTACTTGGAATGTTAATGAATATTTACTAATGTTGGAATACATTAAAGAAAGCCAATCCTTATGTTGTAAAGTGATTTCTTCCATTAAGAATGCTTTGTATCCTAATTGAATGAGGAATTCTTTAAGTTGTAGGGCCCATGTGGTCTTTTCTACTCCTATTGCTCCTCCAATTGTTATCAATTTTGCTTTAAGCAAATATTCTTCTAAATAGTTATCGAACTGGTCGAATTTTGTTAATTCATTTGCCAGGGTTTTTTGGTAAAGATTATTTCTTCTTTGATCATAAAGATATTTCAAGGTTTGTTCAATTATTTTAAATTCATCATTATTTAAGCACTTTATTTTATTTAAAGTATTCTTTCTTCTTTCTTGGTCCTGTTCTACTTCTCTAATTAATTTTTGATTCTGTTTACCTATTAGGTCAAGATACATTTGATTATTATTTGTTCCTCTTAACCATTGTTCCGGTTTCGGAATCATAATTTGGAGAGTTTTATTTCTATTATTCTCAAAGATTACTTTTTCTCCTGAATATTCCAAGTCTTTAAGGATTTTCATTTCTTCGATTTCTATTTCATTTAGAACTTTGAATTGATTTTCATATTTCTTTTGGTCTTTCTTTTGTTGTTTTTCTTTTTGTTTCTGTTCTATTTGAACTATCAATTCTAATTCTTTTGACCATTTTTGATAATGATTTTGGTCTTTAAACCATAAAGTTTTGAAGATTTGTTTTTTCAAATCCATTCCTTTGAATATTGTTGTAATATTCTCTTGATTTCTTTTAGTCAAGGTTACTTCTAAGGTTGTTTTTTCATTCCAAATATATTTGACTAGTTTCGAGAGTTCTTTATTCTTTTTTATTTCTTCCTATAAGAATTTTTCTAATTCTTCATAACCAGGTGTTATTAGTTTAATTGATTTTGGATGTAAAAATATTTCAAATAATATATAATGGAGTTCTTCTTTAGAGCGATTACTAAAGTAACTTTTATTGAATCTTTCAAATATTTGATTAATATTTTCAAAGTTTCCATTATTCTAAATCTTCTGAATCTGCTGTTGTTCCATCTTTAGATTGTCTAAGATGTTCAGTTTCGTCAATTTCTTTCTGAATTATCTTGGAGATTCTAGTCAATCTTTTAATTATCCTTTCGTATATTTCTATTTTAGTATCCTGCCAAAATATATCAGTAAAGTTTTCTGTAGTAACTATTTGTCCTTTAAGAAAGGTTAATCTGTGAATATGATTATTTAATGTTTCGTTGTTCATTAAATATCATTTTCTGAATAGTTTCCGTCAGAATCTACTGCAGGGTTGATTCCGTTTTTAAATTGTTGACAAAGCTTGCAAATAGTTATCTCTTGTTTATTGTCAGAGAATTCTAGTAATTCTTGATCAATATTTTCAATTAAATTCTTTAGACTTTTAATTATATTGTTTAAAGTATCTCTTGTAAGGGTGGCTTCTATCTCAAGGTTTCATATCTGATATATTGATGATACTGCTATTACTGCGTGTTGTTGGAATATTAGAAACCTATATTCAGTTTCTGTTAAGTCTTGTTTAGATAATTCTGTTTTATAATTAAACCTTTTTTGTGTATATCGAAGTATTTGTATAAGATGTAATCTTATTTGTTCGAGTACTTCTTGGTCTGTTTTTTCAATTAAAATGGGTCTTCTTTTACTCATCAAGATCTAATTTTGATAATAGTATATCAATATTTCTTCTGATGTTTCTGATTATTCGATTAATTGTTATAGCGTAATTGGCGTTGTCTTGAGTAGTCAATGGTTTAGGTTTTAATAAAAGGTCTTGGATATCTTGAATCAGTTTACTTTCCGGTAAAGCCTAAACGTAATATCATAATGCGGCTTTAGCTAATAGAAATGATTTATTGTTTTCTTCTATTTGTAATAATGCAGTATTCAATAAGTTTGCTAATAGGCTTTTGATTCCTGTTAATTCAAAAGTGGTAATTTTCTTGAGGGTCGTTTCGTTGTCTTCAAACTGTTCAATAAAATTGTTTTCTGTTATCATTAATATTGATTAAGGTTGATGAGAAGAAGGTAAAGTATTTCTTCTTCGGTTAATTGTTTGGTTAAAAGTTGTATAGTTGTCCATGTAATATAATTGATTATTTCTTGGATCATTCACTTTTTCTTTTGTGGTCTAACTTTTGCAGTTTGAATAAAATAATAGGATTCGTTGTCTGAGTCGGTTCCTATTGGTGCAGAATATTCATTGGGGCAATATCCTGGTTTATATCGATAAAGATTATAAAAGCAGTTATTAAGTCTAATAATATCGTGAGTTGCTTTTTGTTTAAATTCTTCAAGATCTCAAATTTGTTGTTGGAGTTTTTCAATAAGGTTTTTTTGATTATTGTCTTCCATTTACTCATAATGAGTGAGGTTTTGATTCGGGTTAATCAAAGGTGTTTAAATAATTTTTCGATTTGATAGTCCAGCTATCATGATTATTAATCTTGTCGTTATCAGTTTGATTTTTAATCAAAGATTTTGTTTTGTTTATAAAATAGATAAGGATTACTAATTCTAAAATTTAGTTTGTTTCCGATAGATAAGAAGGATATTACTAATACGTGTTTTTGGCATTGTTTGTTATACAGATAATTTGTTTTGATCTCGTGTGTACGCCCCTTCCTCACGTATCACAGTCATTCCCTTCCCTATTTAGGGTAAATACTATAATATTCATTAAGAGTAATTTTGTACTCCAATAAGTATTACATAGAATGTCCTCAATATTTTATTACAAATTATTGATTATTAATTAACTATCTATTTGTCAGATGTTTATTCATTGACAATTATTATTGGGGTTTCTTCATTATATTCTTCTTTTTGATTAGTAATTGGTCGTGGTGTTAACGATCTTCCTCAGCTTTTTTCTCTTTCTATTGCCCTGTTAATGATTTCGTGTTGTCCATTAATTTTATATACTATATTATTGAATTCTTCTTGATCATCCAAGAGTTCAGGTTCTTCTTGGAGCCGACTCTCCATTCTATAATATCGGTTGTAATCTTGCGATATTGCTGTAGATATCTCATCCTGAAAATATCGAATCTTATCCAATAAAGTCCAATATTGGATATTTCTATATTCAATAATATTTTTTAATTCATTAATTTGTTCTGATTGGTTCAATACAATCTG